GACCCTCCCCCCTCTCATGTGCTCTCTCTCTCTCTCATTCTCTCTGTCTCAAATAAATAAATAAAATCTTTAAAAAAAAAAAAAAAGAAAGAAAACTCTCAAACTGCCCTAATGGAGAGAGGGTTTTGGTCAGTTCTAACAAGTCTGAAAATAAAGAAATCCACATAGAGATCAGAGAGATTTGAGAGATGAAGCCTTGTTTAGGACCCCCAGAGTTCCATATCTGAAAAAGCCAGTTAAAACATTGTGTTGACTTTATTTCTGTAGTCATTCCAACCCCACTCTTCATCGTATTTAATCCCATATACACATGTTCAAATGATCCCTGCCAAGAATTTGACCCCAGATAGGAATACAATTTATACACGAAGATAAAACCATAGTGGTCTTCTTCCTAACAGGAGCTAATGGTTGAAGGAAAGAAAATGAGTCAGTGCAGAATCTCTTAGTGGAAGAGCACGCGCTTCAAATGGTCTTGAGTTTGAAGGCAAGTTCTTCCCTCATCCGTGTGACCCTCACAAATTAGTAACATCTATGGGCCTCAGTTGCCCAGTTTCCTTATTTGAAAATGTTAATAGCATTCACTTAGCAGGACGTGGAGATATTGAAGTGCTATATTTTAAAAGCTCAGCAAGTTCATGGAAAACAGAAGATGCTCAAAGATGGTAACTTTAAAAAGGGAAAAAAGATAAAGATCGAGGAGGGGGTAACTTTGATGCTCAGAATAAAAGAAGAGTCATAGGAAATGTCTTTAATAAAGATACATCATGCATTCTTTTTCTTCCCTGTGGTGGGGGGTGGCGGGTAGGGAAAGGAGGGGAGGGGGGGGGGGAGGGAGGGAGGGAGGGGGGAGAGGGGAGAGGGAGCGAAAATAAGAGAGGAAACCTTGGGTAAAAGTGTCCTTTAGCATTTGCATTGCTCTTAGCTGGCTGAACTTGCCTGCAGCTACCACTTACAATGCAAATTGAGCTTAGAGTCCTTCACACTAACTACACAGCAAAAACCTTTCAGCTTTAAATAGAATACTGCAGTGTGGAATGATCTGAGCAAAGCAAAGCAAAGAAAAATTCAGAGATAAATGTGAAGGAGATTTTGGAGAGAAAAAAAAGAACCAAACCCTTGACATATCTGGCCAGGTAGGAAAATGCTGACATATCAAGGAAGACAAAAAGCAAAGCAAAGTCTGTAGAAGGACCTAGAAACTAAGGTCAGATTTAAGAGAAAGTGGATTTAAGTTAATAAAGGAGGAGGGTACTTTTGAGGCAAGCCCTCAACAAAGAGGATTTTAACAAATAATATTTTGATCTGGTGATATTTCAAGATGTACTTGGCACTTCCAAGGTATTCATCAGAAGAGAGAGGACGGACTCTTGCCCCTGTGGCCAGCACCACTGCATGAATGTTCCCTAAAATGAACAGATTAAGACCATAGAGAACTTCCTGCTCTACTCAACTTCTGCTATTTACACTGTCCACGTTGCATTTTCCCCCCTTCTTCCCAGACTTTCAATAAGATCAGGTAAAGAAACCTGAAGGCATACTGAGCAATAAAGGTTTTGTTTAGTTTTCAGCGTGGTGTGTGTATGTGAGAGAGACAGAACGTTCTGAGAGGTTGACTTAGAAAGATTTGAGAGAGCTGCCTGCTATAAACTCATGCCTCAGTTTTGACTACACGAACGCAGTTATTTTAATCAGAATCAGAGCTTACAAAAATGCCATAAAATAGGACCAAAGATCAGGGTAGTACCTGGGGCCCGGAAAGCACTAAGGAATTCCATTTTTAACTCATTTCTTCATTCTAGAGGTGATACTCCCATACACAAGGCCCCAATCTGCCCATCTTCCCAGCTCAGTAGGTTTCCTGTGCCTGCGCTTGGAGGCATAATGCAATCTAGAAGAAAACATGAAGGCAGCCCTCTTTGTTGTCACAAACAGAAAGAAGTATCACCCAGAAAGACCAATAGACCCAAGGCCAACTTCTCTCTTGGATAACATGCTCAGACACAGGGCTAGTCATAATCTACCTGGTAACTGATTCAGTGACAAAGCACTTGAGACTGAGAAAGAACATCTTATAACCACCCTGTCATCCTGCAAATGAAAAGACTCGGCAAGTATGGTGCCTGTATGGGGGAGGGATAGGCTGAACATCTCTTAAAAGCCATCTCTAAGCTCCTGAATGCCAGAGCTCATACAAGTCTGCTTCATCTGTCTAGCACCCACATATTAGGCTGGATGCTCTCCAGTAATGATGATGAATGAAGAATATATTTTCAATAGCACTGGACATTCTTTATTACCTAAAACTTACTGGGATGTTTATAGAAGATGCCACCTTTGCCCCCAAACTGTATCTTTTTATTTCTTCCAGAGTTTGAACTCTTTTACTACCCCAACCCCATCACATTTTTCTATGATTCTTGATTTGATTAAATATTATAGAAATTTTAGTATCCAAGAATAACAAGAATTGTCTTAAATTAACATAAGGTGCAATGTTTTCCTAAAGCACTTTCACACACATTTTCTCACGTGGATATTACAACGTGATAATGCAACACTTTATATGAGTGGTTAAGGATAAGGGCCTACAGGTAGAAAATAAAAGCAAAAATGCAAAAGTTTTGGCATTTGAAAAAAAAATGCCTTTACTCTCTATTCACACACAAAAGGCAGAATGAGATTCCACCTGCTGACTTTCCCTGCCTGCCTGCTAACGTCAGAACAAGCTGAGAGAGAGAGAGCGCCACGACAATTTCACCTCTTGGCAAAGCTCAGCTTACTGAACCCTCTTGCTTTCTGCTGGCTGTTGATTCAGCAGAAACTACTGCTGCAGAATTCATAATGGTGATTTTAAAGGCCCCACTGATCGCATTGCTCGCCCCACGTGTCAGACTCGTTCGCTCGCTGCTGGAACGCCGTCTCCCCAGCTACCTTTTTATTTCTTGCTAATGCACTTCCAAGGGGAGAGGGGCTCGCCCTTTTGCAAAGGGCCTTTTGGGGTTCTGATTGTCTGAGCAGGTAACCTGGCCGGAGAGATAGTCGGGCAGGAAATGAAACCATGTCCTCCCTGCAGCCACTGAGAGACACAACATCATTCCGCTGGGGGGGGGGGGGAAGGACCTCCGATCCGACTGGGCCCCTTTCTTATCGCCCCCTCCAAGACCCCGGCAAACATCTTGGGGGATGGGTCATCTGCCTTCACGGGGTCATTTTTCCAGTCGGGAGCCCCACCCTGCAAAGCCTGATCCCCCAGGGCCATTTTAACTCCCGTGGGCGCCGGGTCCACCTGCTGCTGAACGCCGGGCTCGCCTCGCGGAGCCCGGATGGATGTGGGGCGCACCGGCCGCTGCCCCCGCGGGCCGAGCCCCCGCCCCAGCCCCGGGCCGAGAGGAGTCTCCGCCACTCGGCGCCCGGCGGCCCGCCGAGCCCAGCGATCCGCAACTTGCGCCCGGCCCCAGCGGCGGAATGCGGCGGGGCTGGCGTTACCTTCGGTCGCATAGCTGTGGTCGCGCAGGAAACTGTTGTTGATTTTGCGGGTATCAATGTCCTCCTCCATTGACAGCAGGCTTACTTGCGTGGGAACCAGAAGCCGGCAGACAAGTATCCATGATCCCTCCCCGCAGCCAGTCTCACAGGAGAGGGGGGCAGGGGAGCCGGTGGGACTGCACCATGGTCCGAGCCTGAGGAGGAGACGGGGAGGCGGAGAGAAAAAAAAATAAAAACCCGGCAATGGAGCTGTCACCTCCTCCACTCGGGATCTCCGAGGCTGCGGCGGCTCCTCCCGCGGTGCGCTCACTCCAGCTCCAATTCCCAGCGAGGATGCTGCGCCCGGCTCCGCGGCCGCCGGGTGCCAAGATGCGCCGTGCCCCGAGGGGTCCGGGCCCGCCCGCCGCCCGGGAGGCGCTCACAAGCGGGGCTGGGGAGATGCCCAACAGGTTCCCCACGTTGGCCGCCGCTCCAAAATGCAAAAAAGGTCCCTCCTCCCCCTGGGAGAGCGGGCGGCCGCGACAAAATGGTGCCTTTCTGGACCCGGGCTGCAGTGGCGAGATGGCAGGGGCCGGATTCGGGCTGGGCCGGCCCGGAGCAGGGTGCTGGTCCCACGGGAGGGCGGCTCCGGCTGGCGGGGGCGACGAAGGCGGCGGGGAGCTGGGCAGGGCGCTGCGGCCGGCGCCAGCGCACTCACCCTCACACCCACACGCGCGCACTCGCAGCTGCGCTGCTGCAGGAGGAGGCTGGAGGCGGCTGGTGCATTAAAGGCGAGGCTCCTCCCAGCCGCGTCAGCAGCCCCAGGACTCGTCCCCAGCAGCGCCGGGGGCCGAGGCAGAGGCTGCGGCTGCTCTCTGCTGCAGTGGGGCGCACGCAGCCGCGAACCGGCACCGGGGCAGCAAGCAGCGAGCCGGCAGGTTCACGCGAAAGCCAGAGACGCGCTCTGGCAACCGCCCTCCAACCGTGCCACGCGGCGAAGGGCGGCGTTTACTCGAGCCCCCAGAGTCCCTAGCTCGCTGCCTTGCTCCGGACACCTGCGCTTCAGGACCGCAAAGAGAAGTAGGTCCCCTGGGGGAGGCAGGGAGACGACAGTCAGGTCCCTTTCGCTCACCCTTGTGTGAGGTATGCGGTCCCTTGATAAGTTCAACGGCGAGGCCTGGGGTTCGAAGCCTCAGAGAGGAGAGAATGGGAAGAAGGGCTGCCGTAGCTTAACTGAAGCCTCCTGTGCTAGGACTAGAACGGGCAGCAGGGGCCAGAACTTTTCTGTGACCACCTACGACTTCTCCATTCCAGACGCAGTCAACATCCCCTTCCTACTGTAGGCGTCTATGTCTACGCAGGCAGAGGGATGCAAAAGGGCTGAGTTATGAAGCCAGTCCACATAGTCAATCTGAGAAAGTCCACCTTCCCTAGCCCTGTGCACTTTGTTTTGGACCAAGTGCTGCAGGCCCTCCTGTAGGTCTTGCTTGTGAAGACAACACCGCAGGAACCGCTTACGTTTGCTCCCAGCATGGAAGGGACATGGGAGTCTCTGCTACCCTGAGGAGATTTCAAAGATCCAATTAGTACAAAAAAAAAGAGACCTGCCTCCCTACTTCACGTAGGAGGAAAATGCAGAATTCCACCCCCCCAACCATGTTTCCCCATATTGCAAATTCGGTATTTGAAAGAAAACTTGATCGCTACTGTTACGAAACCAATGAAACCATTTATGAAGCTACCCAACTCCCTAAAAAGCCAATATTGGAAAAGACATTTCCCCATTTTCCTCTTGTAGAAGGTATTCATTTCAGTGGGTGTCACTGCAGGGAGAGACATCAGCGGACGTCTTGCTCAGTTAAGCTCCACAAGTTGAGCTAGATGAGCCCAGAGGGACCTGGGAGTTAATTATATACATACAATGCTTCGGCTAACACGATTTAGAAAGTATTTGAAGTTCAAAAAAAATGGGAAAACAAGTTTTTAGCAGGTTGGGAATTGCAATCAGATTTCCACAGAGTGGATGCTTCCGGCAGATGGAAAATGGAATTATCCCCCATCTCCAAAAAGCGAGAGGGAGAAGAAGAGTAGAAATAGTCTTCGATATAATTTTTAAGGGAAGTTCAGCTTATAACAGATTCCATTTGATTGTCATTTGGTGGTTAAGTCTTAACATAACTTGTTTGACTATTTGTTCAAATTTCACCAATGGAATTCCAGTGACAAATGTAATCCACTCGGCATCAGTTCACAGCTGGTTCTTCCACATGATGAGCTGTATCCATCACCAAGTCTCCAGTGGTCAGCTCATCTGTAGTTACACAGTTCAGCTTCCCTTGCTGTTAAGCATAATGGGGAAGGGGCGGGCAGAGGGGAAAAAAGCTAAGTTCCTCTCCAAGTGGTAAGAAGACATTTTGCTTTCCGTTGAAATGACCTTAACTTGTGACAGGAGACCTTGGGATAGTATTTGGAAATCCTCCCTTTATCTCCCTGGAATGTGGGATAGATTGGCACAGAGCTGTATGATGAAGTGGGTAGGCCCAGGCTCATGGGCCAGGCTGTGCTTGAGGAATTTTCCACCGTAACCAATAGGAGAAAGGTCCCCTCCATAGATTAAGTTTCTGGGATTTACTGAATTTTCCCTTTCACGTTTCCTGCAGCATCCCCCCTGCATTTATTCAATGGTACAGGCAACACAGATACATCATGGGTAAGGAGATTGCAAAGTTTCAACTTTGTGGACCACTCTTTTCTACTGTGAGCAATGGGGAACTAGGCCCTGCACCAAAACCAAGAAAAATAAGGCTGTTGGCTTTGTGCTTGAACACAATGACGTGTAGGAAAGGAGGTCAAGGGTTGAAAGAACCCTGTGCAATTCTGTAGTGGTAAGAGGACCATATAGACCATTTCTCAGAAGACCTGCCGACCTTCTTTCTATGCCTCAACATGTCAAGTTCTTTCCAAAAGCATTTGAAATGTATACATGTCAACCTATGCTCTTTCCTCATGTTCTTGGCATTCTTCAGCATCTCAGCTCAACTGTCCCTACTTCCCTGAGTCATTACCTGACCATACCACAGTCTCTTCCTCTAGAATTTTCTGCGTCTACATCTTTTTTTTTTTTTTTTGGTCTTCTTCATGGCTCACTGCATTTTGTAATAGTTGTTTCCATATCATTATCAACCATCCCTACTCTATCTCTGATATTAAATGTCTGGCACTTAGTGGGTGCTCAATTATCTTTGCTGGATAGAGGTAAATATTTCTTCAATGAATGAATAAATTACTGAATTTCTTCAGTACAACAAATATTTGTAATATTTAGGTTTAGTAGCTCAATCCTTATTAAAATTCTTGCAAAAAAACCCCAAAACCACACCCAACAATAAAAACTGTTGTGAGCCAGTAATTTTCTAGTTCCTAAGCTTTATTGCAATTGAAATAATTGTGCTACCCATTCCTGTATGCATATGTACCAAGAATATTTACTGAGCACTTAAGATGTGCCAAGAATTGTTCTGGGTGCTGGGGATACAGTTAAAACAGAGTCCCTTTAGTCGCAGAACTGAAATTCTATCCCTGATTTTGATAAAATGAGCTTTCTTAGAAATACAACAAAGGCATTATAAATCAACAGACTACAGCATAATGCTAAATGCTAAGGTTCTGATATCAAGCACAGCTGATTTTCTGACACTTATTACTGTGTCCTTGAGTAAGTTACAAGGTTCCCCTAAGACATTTTTTAAACCTCTAAATTAGGGGGAAGAATACTATCTACTTCATGGAGTTATTGTGTGGATTTAATGAGATAATGTATGGAATAATCCCAGAGAGAAGATACTGCTCTTACTTGTTGAATATTTATTATCATCTCCACTCTCAATAATGAACAAATATTAAAGCACCTACTAAGTCAGCCCCTGGGACAGGACTGGAGATTCAGCAACATCTGTGCATAAAAAGCATAGTTTCCGCTGTCATGGGACTTGGTGTCTAATTTACCGTTTATGTAAAAGGAGTCATAAGCTATAAAAGGGGCAGCAGAAGACACTTTGAAAGGCTGACCAAATCCAGGCTTGTACTTTACACAAAAAAGGCCAATTACAAATACACAGGCTTCTTAAGTTACACAATTCAGAATGATGGCACATAGACACATTCTTTTTTTATCACCCTTGTCATGGCCCCCTCACCCCAGTTAGGTTAGTGCTGCTTACACTGGAACCTTTCAGGTCATCCTTCCAATTAACACATTAAATACCTACAATTTTATTAAAACCTTTGACCTAAGCCAGGCTGGAGATTCTTAATATAGGCTTAGGTGTCAGACGGTCCTGGTTTGTCCCAGCTCAGGCACTTACGAATTTCATGACCTTTGGCAAGCAATTTAACATCTCTGGGCCTCTGTATTTGCAAAGTAGAAGAAAATAATAGAAACTACTTGAGAGTATTGCTGAGTGGCTTCAGAGCAGCCTGTTTTGCGCTAAAATGTCAGTTCTCCCTCCTACCCGTGGCTCATGTACATCTCCACCAGTAGAGAAAGGGAGAGATGCACTACAAAGTGGATCATTTATGTGAACAAAAGTGACTTAGAAACCGGAGTTTTACTACCTATTGATCTGTCCTAATGGCAAACTAGAAACTGGATACATGAAATTTTACCATCCTGCACAAAGCCCTTTAGAAGCCATCAAGTCCTGTGGAATTATGATGACCCTCTCTACGCACAGACCTGATCACGTTTCTCTATTGTGGAATCCTCTGAAATCCCTCTCTAGGATCACTAAGCACTGAAGGCACAACTGTCTCTCTGAGGTGGTTTATGTGTTGACTGCTCAGTGGGTAAGCTCTTGAGTTTCCAGCAAGGTTCGCCATTCCTTTTTGTGCATGCTCCTAGAACATGTAATACATGACACGAGTGAACTTTTAAAATGGAATTTAACCTGGGAAAAGAAAACAAAACCTCTTGCTCTTAAAATGTTGTATTAAATCCAGATTCTGCATTCTTAATGGATTTCACAGAGTAAAATTTTCCTTCAGTTATCCAAGTACAGTAATTTATGCAAACAAACAGCGGCACACTGGGGCTGCTACTTACTGGAGAGCCGAATGTGCGGATTATACACATCTATTTCCAGCTCTGCTGTGAGGGACATCATGTTGGTAGCTTAAAATCTGAAATCTGCTATGGTGGGTTATTTATACCATGGAAATTTTTTAAAAACCCTATATAAATCAGGGCTTTTGGGATTTCTGTTTGCTTTGAGAGCCGATTGTTAAACATTTAGCAGCACACCAGTAGAAATGCAATACTTTCCGCTGTATCTTCCTGCTCATCCCTGTAATCTACGCAAAGTTCCTTCCAATTCTCAACGCTAAATCTCCCAAACTGTGTCAAATTCCAGAGCATCCCACCATCCAACCAAACTTGAGCCATAATGCTAAATGACTCTTAAAATCCTACCTTTACCATAAAGCTTTCCCATATCCATCAGAGGAAACCCTATGCCTTTGTTTGATCCCTTCCAGGCTGGATATGCTATTGCCATGGTAGACCTGGAAGAGACTTGCCCCATAAGGGACCTGACAACATAAGGAATGTCAGGTGCATGCCCATTCTCCATGAATCATCCCTTTCTACTGTTCAAGCTCCACTGTCTCCTTACTTTTGCTCTGGATTTGCCTAAATGCAAAACAAAGACATCCACTCTGCCTGATTTCATTGATAGCTCTTCAACATGTCTTGTTAGAATATTGATACAATGGGGGAAGAGGAACAAAAATCCAAGAGTCCAGATCTGAGAGCCTAAGAGAAAATATCCTCTTGTACCTTTTCTCATTCAGTGGTTTTAGAGTTAAATTTAGGCTGTCTTATTCAAGATATTTTTAATTTGCAGTATATTTATTTGGTATAAGGTGAGGATTTACAAAATCCCTTCCACAATACTCAAGGGGTACTATCCAGTTCCTGATGACATTTCTCAAAATAAAATTTCATATAATTTAAACGAGAATATATATTGGGAAATATCTTTCAAATTTCTTTAAGAGGCACCAAGCAATAACACTTTACAGAATATATCCTAAGAAAATCATCATAGATGTGGGCAAAAATTTAGCCATAAGGTTATTTCTCAGAGCATTGTTTAGAATCATGAAAAACTGGAAACAACCCAAATGTCCAACAGAATTCGCTAGGCAAATTATGGTAAATACAAACAATGGGAAAGTATTGAGCCATTGATAAAATATTAGCAGCCAACACTTGTTGAGCATATATTATGTACCAGGTTCTGTGCAAAGGGTTTTGCTAGCATTATCTCATTTAATTCTAACAGCAGCCCTTAAAAGGAAAGTGCTATTATTATCTCCATTTTACCGAGGGTAATAGAGGTAAATAATATACCCAAGGTCAAACAAAAAGGAGCCCGGCACTGCGTACCCACGTGTGTGTGTGCGCGCGCGTGCGCGCATGTTGGGGTGGGTTGAGGCCACTCTATTGAAAGCATGCACTA